CGCTGTCCGGCGAGGCCTCCGCGGCGGCGGCTCAAGGGCGGACCGACTTGGCAGAGGCCGAGAGTCGGGGGCGCAACTTGCGCTCTCCCGACGACCTTCTTCGTCGCGCACTGGGCCGACAGACGGCCGAGAGCGGAGGTGCTGGAGCTGTCCGAGGTCGTCGCGAACATCGAGAAGCAGTTGTCTGAGAAGCAGGCAGCCCACGCGAGTGCGAAGACCGAGCCTGACACGATCAATGCGGAGGTCTCCATCGCGCGCGCAGCAGTTCTCTTGTCCGCCGCGCCCCCAGCCCCACGCGGCGCGTCGGAGGCGATGGGCAGGCTCGAGACTATCAACTCCGCTCCCGCGGCTTCCCCGGCAAGCAATCCGACCGCCATGCCCGAGTCGCTCAGCACCCAGTTCGAGTAGCTGCTCCGGGCCCTTACTCCACTTCAACCAGCGGCCCCACCAGCCTCAGGAGTCGCTGCGCCACCACCTGGACCTCTTGACATGCATCCTCAAGGAGCTGCTTGGGACTTCCCCGTGTCACCGACTCCAATTGCAGGATACCAGGAGGAAAACGGCTAGTACGCTTGGCTACTTCAACGTGTCTGCTGCGCGCCCTCGGCGCGCTGGCAGGCGCTCTCAGCGTCGCCCTCTGCGGATGGTGACCTGCAATGCTTCGAGCTGGCCTACACTGCGCGACTTCTTGAAGAGGGCGCCGACGATGCGAGCATCGTGGCCGCCCAGGAAGTGCGTTTATCTGGCGATGCTAAACTACGTGCAGAAGAATGGAGCATCTCACATGGATGGAAGCCGTTCGTTGCGAATGACCCACGGGACCGACAGGGAAGCCCATGGCAGGAGTAGCTCTCTTTGTCGAACGGAACATCGGGACCACAATTTTGGATTATTTCCCAGGAGTTCGCGAGCACGTTATGATCCCTGCCTGGCGTGTCACGCTGGGCCTAGAGGGGGCTGCGCTGCGGGCTCCGTCTACATGGAGGAGGGCATCGGCTTCGTCTCGCCCAACGCGGAGAGGCTGGAGGAGACCGCCATGTGCCTCAAACGCTCCTTTCGTCTGCGGCGGCGACGGGAACGCCGCCACGTCCTAGCTCTGCGGCACGGACGCAGCGGGCAAGCTCGGCGCGAATCTTGTCGTGGGCCCCTAAGGGTTTCACCGAGTGGCTCGCACTGGCAACCGCACTTACATCGACTACTGCATGGCCAGCGACTCCATGGCGGCGGCTATGTGCGTCGGGTCCCTGATTACCCAGCGCGACCTCATTTTCCGATGTGCGTCGGCCTCGGCGCCAAGCCAAGGCTCGGCAGATGCTTCTTCTGCAGGCGCCGAAGGTCTTGCCCAAGGCCCCCGATCATTCGCAACTGCCCGAAGATCCCGATTCTGCAGACGACGTGCCAGACGATGCTGTCGCACGTGGGGCGCCTGACTTCTCATGGACAGAATGCATGTCAGCGGGTGCTGCAAGGGGCCGTGTAGCCCCTGCTGGCAGGCAGGATCGAGAGGATCACATTTGCTCTCAACCTCACGCCGGCCTGGAGAGGAGCATCCTGCCGACTTCTGACTTGCAGGACCCCTCCAAGTACCTCGGGCGCGGGTGCCAGGCAGTGCTGCATCGTCAAGCGACGGCTGGACGTGCTCTCAGTCATCAGCGCCCTGTAGGCGCCAAGGAATCTCAAGCGATTGGAACGATCCAGCATCGATTTGAAGATCTTTATGTCGCTATCCGGAAGTATGGGAAGCGCCCAAGACTAAGCGTGCCACTGTTTGGCTGCCACTGCTTCAGCTCTTATCCCAAAGTGGAAAGACGTGGAAGATGGCGTCGGTGCTGCCAATCGAGTTTGCCCACGGCATCGCGCACTACCTCACGTGTATGTTTGCTCGGCCGTCAGGGTTCCAGGCCGCGATGCTGGAACCATTTTCGAATGGGCTTGCTCGCCAGGCTGCTTTGGTTGAAAATGCTCGTGCCAAAAAAGAGCGGGGATGGATTCGTCAAGTGGCTGCGCCAGCCCATCCGCTCGCAGGACAAGCCAGCGCACTCTGGGACGAAGCCCAAGAGTTGGACGATTTCGCGGGTCTCGACCAAACTCGGGCCCTCCCCGCGCGCCGCGGACATCGCAGAGGCCCAGAGGAACGTCTGGGAACGCGCATGGGCTCGCAGGGACTCGAGCAGGAATGCGACCTCATCATGGGCCTCGTGGACCTCAGCAGCGAGGGCCCCCAGCTTCCCCCCCCCCCCATGGGTTTCCAGCGCCTTAGGGCCTCAGCTAGGATCTTCGCCACGGGCGCGGCCGCGTGCGCCAGCGTCTTCAGGCCGAGGCACTGGGCTCTGGCATCGGACGGGGCCATAGCACGTCTCGGGCACTTGCTGCACATATGCGAGCAATGGGCCCCGTGGTCCAAGATCATCTGCCATGGAAATATTGTGCTACATGCTAAACCTGCTGGCGGCTACAGGCCCATAGCGTTTGGGGCCACAAATTTGAACCGTCGGCATGTCGCTTTAGGCGAAGGCAGGGCTACGACCGACGCAGGGCTTGGTTGAAGGGCAGGGCTCCCCCGAAGGCCCCCAAGCTCCCCGGGGATCCCGTCGCAGTCCAGAGCATCGTGAACATCGAAAAGAATTTCGATCGCGTTCCATGGGCCGTCGTCGCGCCCGCGGGATTGAAGCGTGACCTTCCTGGGCGCACCCTAGTGTCAGCGCAACAGATGCATGGTTCCTCCCGACGATTCGCCTGGGACAGTGAGTTCTCTACTGCGGTGTTTGCTCGCCGAGGCGTCCTTGCTGGTCGTGGCATGGCGATTTTTATACTTCAATTGGCTTTGCTCGCGCCACTGGACAACTTGCATGCTGACGCGCACTGCACCGCGCGGTTCGTGGATGTGCACGCCGACGACCTGACCGCAGTTATCACTGAACCGCTCCTGCACATCATCGTGCACGCGTGCGCTGTCCTACGGGAGGTTGCACATGCACTGCGCAGTGTAGACCTGCATCCAGCATGACATAAAAATGGCACTCACGCGTGCGGTTATGGGCATTGCAGGGCGCGCGTGAGGACATGTGCGCAAGCTTGGATATCTGCCAGCCACCGCCTTGGAGGTCTTGGGCATCAGGGTGGCTGGTGGCAGAGTGCTTAGGTTCAAGCGATTGCGAAAGCGCGTCCGTGGCTTTCGTCGACGCCGCCCCCGCGCATACGATGCATGCACGAAGCGTCTCTGGCCCATGCTGGGGCGCTTCGCGAAGGCCCCGCTGCCGTCGGCCATGGCCTGCGGCGTTGCGGCCCATGGCGCGCCCCCGCCGCTCGCGGCCTCCCAAGGGGCCAACCTGCAGACGGCGTGGTGCTAGCCTGGGACGTCGGGATCGGCGTGGTTGAGCCCATTCATGCATCGAGGTCCTAGCCAGGATCCGGAGGTGACGGCGCGGTGCGAGCAGTCTTCCAGCGGCCCCGTATGGCGCGGGACATCGAGGCGCAGCCGATCACGCGGGGAGCGTGGCAGAGACAGGTTCTCCAGCTTCATCGAGCTCGGCATCCATGGGGGCAAGTTGCTGGACCGCGCGGCGGGACCTTCCTGGCCTTGTAGTAGCTGAGCTGGACATCGTCTTCTGCTTCCCTGTGGAGAGCGGATCAGGGCTACCCGATTGATGTTCGAGATGCTGCCCCGCTGTCGCTTCGAGGTATTGCTCGGGGGTCTGCCATGAGGCACCAGCGGGCAGACTGGGCGCGCCGCAGTGGCCGCGCCCTTGAGCTGCAGATGGGGCCGCGAGTTCCCATGGGCCACTGGATCGAGCCCGCGATGCACATGTTGGGCAAAATGCCGCAGGAGCTAGGCGATGCACAGGATGATGAGGAGCATGATGGAGATGGGCATTCGGTGCGTCGCGATCCCGTTCCCGCCCCCAAGTAAGGCGCCACTCTGCAAGCACTTGTCACAGGGGGTCTGCGGTCGAAAGTTCGTCTCCATCACCATCGCCACCGAGATGACTCTCGTTGTGATCGGCGCGGGGCTGATCGATGCGCGCTGTTTCATATCCCGCGGGGGTACCCAGCAGTAGCAGCAGAGCGAGATCCGCATTTTTTCACCAGTGATTGCACGTGCGATGCCTCCGCAGGTGCCAGCTTCTTGGATGCGGAGCCGAAGATTACGCCCACGGTCCTGTTTCCCTCCTGCCCCGCGAAGGGACGACACTGCAGCTTGGCATGTTCAATATAGAGACGCGTCGTATGTGGCAGACAGAGCCTTCACATATGGAGCTCGCAGGAGATATTCGTCTTGGCCAGAATCCACGCGCGCTGGTTGGGGCTCTGCCCAAATAAATCTCAGATCGGTCGACGTGGTCGTGCTCGAGGCACTGCCGGGGCCTGTGCAACCTACGCCCCGCGCCGAGCTCCACGTTTTCTGCCAGGTTCTCAAAGTGGCGCTCCTGCCGATCGAGGTGCGCACTGACTACCTCGACCTGCCGCGCGGTCTGTCGCGAGGCCCGACGCGGGGACGCCCCCCATCGACGGCCCAACGCCGACTTGTGGAAGGAGCTTGGGAGGCGGATCGATGATCTTGGCGGCCTCACGTCCCAGTTATATATATGTATAGAAAAATGGTGTATATATATATATATATATATATATATCATCGCGTGTCTGGGCATCAGGCTAGAGATGGGTTTCACGCTCGTGGCAACCGCTGGGCAGATTATGCTGCTTGTCGAGGTCGCGACTTGCATTCAGTATCCACAGAAACAGGCCGCCAGATGAAGTGAAGCCTGAAGGTGGTCAAGCGCGCTCTCTACTGGATGGTGTCTGCTCATTCTCAGTTGTTGGACAACCTGATGCACCGCCAAAGCAGGCTCGGAAGAAGACTACTGCTGGGGAGGCTCCTGCAATAGCGGACTGCTTCTCTGTATGATGAACTTCGTCACAACCTCCGACCTCATTCGCGTGGGTGGAGTTGTGTATTGTACGCCAAGACTGTCTACACCGAGGCTCGCAGAGCGCAGATGACCAGGCAAGAGTGTCCTGTCGAGATTGTGCAGAATCGTCGACTGGTTGACAGCGCAGTGAAGCCTGACCCCCAGTCCATTTCCTCGACCTCTGGAGTCGACGAACAAGATAAGGATGCCGCTCCCGCCACCCTTGTTGCCTCCCTGCTTGATGCTGCTGCTAGCGCTGTGGGAGCGGGGACGGGTGTTCGACGTCGTCGTCGGGTAGGCGGGAGAGGAACGAGGATCAACAGCCAGAGTTGAGCTCAGGCCGTGCCGTCCCGCCTGCCCAGGAAAGTGGCCAGCCCAAGCGAGCTCGGTTGCAGCCACCAGATAAGGAAGGGGGGACTTTGTCGTCGCCGTCTGGTCGCGGTGGTTAAGGTGTCCCCGAGCAGTCCGAATGCCGAGACAGGCCAGCCCCGTCTGGGCCGCAATTGATGGTGGGAAGATCTTCCAGGCTCATGAGACCCCAAGCCTCTCGCACACGTGTCCGTTTCGCCCCGCAGGAAAGCGATGTTTTGAGCCAGGCTGTGGCATCGCTCGGGGATTGTCGCGCGGCCAGTCGCACTCTTCCTCCTGAGCCCCCCCCTTCGGAAGCTCCACCTCAGAGGCTTCGCAGCCCAGGCAATAATATTCGAAATATAGGCACCAAGGATCACTCGGTGCCAGATCAGCCTCTGCCAGACTGCGGGGTAGTGCACCCTGCGTCGGCCAGAGGACATAAGTTATACGTTTCGCCAGGTGCGATTATCATATGCATCAAGTGCGGGGGGATTTCGTCTGGAGGCACGTCGTGTTTGCGAACCCCTTGCCCTCCACCCCCATTACTCTGCTCGCACGCACGCCCAGATTTCTCGCGTCAGTAAGAGTAAGCACCCGTCTGGCAAGCGAAGGGGTGAGGACATCCTCAAGCCCAGGCCGATCGGGGTAGGGGATCCCGAGATTCAGTGGATGGGGCTCTGGCACTTTTGAGCTCGTGTGATGTCTACGCTTCTGTTGCACCTTCGGTAATTAACATTACTCGTTTGACTTTCAACGTGTGCTTGAAACTTATGTATGAGCTCACGATGTGTTTTCCGACGTGTTGTGTGATACCTCACGCTTCGCGTGGGACATCGTGCAGCGCTCTCGCGCCATCCCCGCCGTGATCCCGTCTGGGTGGGCGTCTTGGGGTCGGTGCCTATGGGCGCTGGGGGGGGCCCTATGTGGCTCGCCCATTCTGGCGTGGCCGTTAGCGCACTGCGCGACGGACTCCGTGTAATTAGACCGCGTGCTGCCACGACCACTGCCACTACAATGATCACTACCACTACCACTACCACTACCACTACCACTACCACCCTGGAAGAAGGGGGGGGGAAGGGCCTGGTTTTCGATTCATACCTCGGCTCTCCTACTGACGTTCAGGGCGAACCGGGCAAACCCCCGAAACGTTCTCGGCGAGGTGTAGCCGCTGGAAGGCACTTCGAGGCCAGAACTGGCCATCGCTCGGACGTCCAGCCCCTGTGCTTTTGTTCGGTTTCGTGCGTGGCTTTCTCGTCAAGTGATCCAGGATGCTCCTCGATGGTCCTCGCCGAAGGAAACATGCACACGTCCGAGCGATGCCAGGAGAAAGCTGCCGAGGCTCGACGCAACCGCCCCGCAGCCGTGGCCCGCCCAAGGAGGGCGCCCGACGAGGCCGCCGCCGCTGCCGCCGTGGTCGCAGTCCTCGTCCTCGGCGCCGCCGCCGCCGCTGTCGGCGCCGCCGCCGCCGCCGCCGCCGTCGTCGTCGCCGCCGTGGTCGTCGTCGTCGTCATCGTCGACGTGGTCGTCGCCGCGGCGGCAACCGACATCGGGCGTCTCGATCTCTTCGAGACGCGAGCCCCCGACCTCTCGACCCATTCCCCGGGACCGGATTTTCACCCCGAGTCGTTTTCTGACGGCCCTGAGGCCTGGCAAGGGCCCCGAGAGGCCGAACACTGTAGAAGATCCCCGTCCCCAGACATCCGGCTGCTCTAATTTTTGTTTGTGTGTGGGCCCTCGAGGTCTGGACCACTTTCCTGGGGCCGGCGTTTCGTCCCGAGTCGCATGTTGACGGTCCCGGGGCCCGGAGAGGGCCCTTCCAGACCGAGGGCATCCAGACATATCCCGCTGCCATTTTGTTGGAGCGTCGGATCGATCGGTCCCCTGATATCCGACGTAGCGCGGATAAAATGCACCATGGTAAGAAAATCACGCCCAGAGCCCTAGACCCTGTCTTCTTGCGTCATTCTTCGAGATGGATCGATCTGTGCGGGTCCCAGGGCCCGAAGAATGGCGAACGCGCCCGGCTCGGAAACTTGATACGCCAGGATCTGTGGACCTCTGGGTCTCGATTTTCTCGAAACGCTGCCGTGGCGAGGGCGGCGGCTGGGCGCTGCCGCCGCGGCGGCGGCGGCGGCGGCGGCGACGACGACGACGACGACGACGACGGCGACGACGACGGCGACGACGACGGCGGCGGCGGCGGTGGAGGCGACGACGGCGGCGGCGGCGGCGGCACTGCCCGCCGGGCTCGGCGCCGCGGCCCGCCGGGGCGCCGCTGCTCGCCGCGCTGTGCGCCGCGGCGTCCGCCGGGGCGCCCTCGGTGGCCTCGCCTCGCGCGCGCGCGCGCGCGCCCGCGAGGAAGGCGAGGAGGCGCCGACGGTGAGGATGAAGGGGCCCCAGGACACACAAATAAATACACACAAATAAACAGATGTCCCATATTTTCCCATATGTTCTGGGTTTCTGTCTTCCCCCCCGCCCCAATTCCGATATTTCCCCATATTTTCTTGGGAATCGACGATGAATTGTGTCTGTGTGTTTTTCTCCCCTCCTGAGAGGACGTCGACGACTCCGCGCAGGGATCGCCCTCAGCCCAGACCCCCCCCGCGTCGTGACGAGAACCACGACGGCAGGTTCTTCGCGGTTTTCTCTGCCTGCGGGGGCCTTGGACCAGCCTCGGGGCCATCAGGAAACGGCTCGGGACGAAAAACCGGCCCCAGGGAAGGGGTCCAGACCTCTGGGGGTCGACGTTGAGAACAAAAGTCACGACGTCGGGGGTCTGGAAGGCGCCGACGGTGAGGACGTCGACGACACAGCGCAGGGATCGCCCTCAACAGCGCTTTCCGTTTTTGTCTTGTGTTCGTATTCCCTCGTTCTGTCTGCAGTCCGCTTTCTTGCTGCAGAACGGAAACGAAACCAAAACGGCCCACGAAATCGCGAACACCGTCTAGGTCGACCCCTGACTCAGCGGAGACGGCGCCGCTGGGGAGAACCCCGCGATGGTGAGGACGCCGGCGGCGACGGCGTCGCGACGGCGCGGACGGCGAGGACGTCGCGCCGGCGAGGACGTCGCGACGGCGAGGACGCGAGCGGCGAGGTGCCTACGACTTCGGTGGCAACTCATGGGAGCCTCCAGTGCAATCTTGCTGGCCCTTGCGAATCGACACCAATCGACGCGAAATCGACGCTGCCTAATGCGGCGCTTTCTCATCGACTGCCAGACGCTAGCGCGCGAGCGCACTCGAATGCGGAAATACGGAGACATACGAGGCTCCCATGATTTGCTACCGAACGACGGCGAGGACGCCGACGACGGCGAGGACGTCGACCACGGCGAGGAGCCTAACGCAGTCGAAGACGGGGACGTCGCCGACACCGAGGAAGACGCCGACGGCGAGGAGCCCGGAGCCCCCGACGACGACGTCGTCGACGCCGGAGCCCAGCGGAGGCGACGACGATGAAGACGTCGACGACCCTGAGCTCCCAGGCGTCGCTATCTTATCACGATGGCGTTTTCCCCCAGCTTCGGGCCCCGGGGCCATCACGGCTCGGTCCAGATCGAAGACTGCCGCAAAAAGATGGGGTCTCGGGCTCACCAAAAGGTACCGATACCGCCACTCCCCAGACCTCTCTCGGGGCGCGTTCTGACAAGGATTTCGAGGCGAATCCAGCAGTGGCGAGAGGGCCTCCCAGGAGGCCTGAACAGGGGGAAACGAGGGAAGGGTATCGGCACGGGTACCTTTTCCTCCTCTGATGGTTCTGATGTTTCGCGACGGTGGATCTTTCCCACAGCCCCAACAACGTCAGCGTCGAGGAGGGCGGCCGCCGACGTCAGCGTCGACAACAGCCCCGTCGGCGACGGCTGGGCGAGAGAAGCAGCAGCGGGGCGCCCGCAGCCGCCCGTGTCGGGCGAGCGGTGCCCTCGGTACGTTTCTAAGTACCGCCTCGTCCAGGGGCGGAGGGCGCGGGTGTCGGAGGCCACGGCGGGGGGATATGTGCACCCCCACTTCTCCTCCTTCGCCTCACAGCTTGCTCTCCTCCGACGAAGCGCGACGCGGCCAAAGAATTAGCATAAGACCGGCTTCTCCGAGCTTCGTGGGCACAGCCGCGCAGCCTGGCAATGGCTTGAGGCCTTCATGGGAGGACCAGGAGGAGAGGAGAAGGAGGAGAATGGGGAGGAGAGGAATGAGGGGGAGAAGGAAGCGAAGGGGTAAGGGCTCTGGGACAAAAAACTTGGAAGCGTCGCTTCCGAGTTCTTTTGCCCAGAGGGGTAGCAGACTGCAGGGAGCTGGTCTCGCCCTGCTACAGCTCTACCAGCCCGCCACCAACTCCTCCTCCTCCTCCTTCTCTCTCTCTCTCTCTCTCCATATATATATATATGTATATATATATATCCTCTCTCCTCCTCCTCCTCCTCCTCCTCTTCCTCGTCCTCCTCCTCCTCCTCCTCCTCCTCCTCCTCTTCCCCCTGCTCAGTCATCATTCCCGTCATCCTCGTGATTGTCATGATAAACACCATCCTTCTCACCATCGACCTGATCATCCGCGTGGCTCCTTTCCTCCTCCCGCTGCCCATCACCTCGTCTTCCCCAGCCTCACTTCCTCTCTCTCCACATCCTCCCTCCCTCCATTTCCTGTACGCCCAGCTCCCAGTGATCGTCCTTGTCCCGATCTTCTTCTCCTGGCCCTTCTCACCCACTCCACCAGCATCCTCGTCCAAGCGGGCAGCACGAGGATACCAACACTGGCTACTGAAGGGGCCCTGGGACACACAAATAAATACACACAAGTAAAAGGATGCCCCGTATTTTCATAAAATTTGTTGGGGGGTTCTGTATTCCCCCCCACTTCCCATAGTTTCCCAATCTTTTCTGGGGAATCGACGATGAATTGTGTCTGTGTGTTCTTGTTTCCCTCCTGAGCTACCCCCCACTTCCCATATTTTCCCCCCCACTTCCCATATTTTCCCATATTTTTTCTGGGGAATCGACGATTCATCGTGTCTGTGTGTTTTTTCTCCCCTCCTGAGCTATACGCACCGGTCACCAGAGGCCTCCCCCGGGGTGCACCCTGCACGCTGCCCGCGACGGACCCCCGGCCAAGCGCGGCCACGCGGGGCGCGCCCTCCGCGGGGCAGCGGTCGGGGGCGCTGGCCCTGCGGGGGGGACAAGGGGGGCCACATGCGAACCCTACTAAAACGACGCGAAGATCGGGACAAAATCGGATCGGGATAACTCGAAATCTCTGAGAATCGGCGGGTTTGGAGGATGTATTGGGCGCCGCGGCCGCTCCAGAGCGTTCCGAAACGCTCTGAGAGCGCTCCGGAACGCTCTGGAGCGATTTATCCAGATCCTAGCCCTGTTTTACCTACCCCTACCCCCCACGATTTCCAAGGGGGAGGGTGGGGCTCACTTCCTCTGGGAGCTTCCGAGCGAAGTGACCCCCACCCTCCCCTCAGAAATCGTGGGGGGCAGTGAACCCTACAGTCGGGGGTTGACCTAAGGAACCCTAAATAAGGAACGAGGCCCCTTTTTTCCATAAGTCAAACTTCGATTTCCGATCGAAAACCTAATGAACACCTGAGGCAAGCTGTGAAACACTTGAGGAACGCGGAGCCCCTCCCCAACCAAAAGGGTTCCTTCTTCAGGGCCCCGACTGTACCCCATACCCCCCACGAGTTCCGAGGGGGAGGGTGGGGCTCCCTTCCTTCGGGAGCTCCCGAGCGAAGTGACCCCCCCCCCCCCCTCAGAAATCGTGGGGGGGCAGGGGCAGGGCTCGCATGTGGCCCCCCCAAGGGACACCTCGACCTCGCATCGGCGACGCGTCGCCGATGCCTCGGCGAGAGGCCCCCGACGGCGGATGCGCACGGTCCCGAGCGGGGACTTTGGCCCTCGGGCCCCCAGTCGGCGACGAAGGGGCGGCTTTGGGGTCGACGCGTGCCCCCCACGAGCCTCTATGAGGGGGCCCTGGGACACACACACACACACTCACACACACACACACTCACACACACATACATACACATATATATATATATATATATATATATATATATGTACATATATATATATATATATATATGAAACACACACGAATAACAGGATTCCCTGTATTTTCCTAGACGTTCTGGGTCTCTGTCTTCCCCCCCACTGCCCACATTTTCCCATATTTTGTGGGAAATCGACGATTCATTGTGTCTGTGTGTTTTTTCCCCTCCTGACTTTACCCCCCGGCGATGCCCCTGACAAGCGGTGGCCTGAAGTTGTTCCTCTGATCCTCTCATCCTCCTCTCGGGTCGGGCGAAAGGGGGGGGGGATAGCAAAGGGGGGGGGGGGGGAGAATCAGCTCACGCAGCTGGTTTTCCCGGCGCCTCCCGGCGCCGGAGGCGGCCATGTATCGAGGAATGGGCCCCTCGGTGGGGCCGAAACCAGCTGCATGCAGCAGATTTCGTACACCCCCCTTTCCCAATCCCCCTCTTTCGTCCGGCCCGATCCTCCTGCTGCGACACGCCCCACCCGGTGGCCACCATGAAGCGGACGTCGTCTCGACGGCCGCACCGCCGGCCGCCAGCCACAGCCACGCCGCCCGCGACTTTCTCGGCATCCCCTTTGCTTCAGACCCCCGACGTCGTGATTCGCTCGCAACCTCGGCCCCGGGAGGTCTGCACGACCCATTCCCCGGGACCAGCGGCTCCTCCTGATCGCTTCCTTGACGGTCCCGGGGCCCCTTGAAGGCACCCGGAGCCCGAAAGCAGCAAGGCACCTCCCGCAGCCCTTGTGCGTTGGACACGCGCTGGCGGGCGTGAGCCGTCGCGTCTTGATGGCCGCGATCCGAAGACAAAAGATCGGAACGGAGCGCTCGACCAACCTCCAGGAGAGACACGCAGTGCGTGCACGATGTGGAATACATGGACAGGAAGAAAAGGCCGCTGGGGCACACCAGCGCTCACAGTGGCAAAGGAAGCCCAGAACCTCCCATGCACCAATCTCACACCTCCCGCTCTTCCCGACCCTCCAGCTATCCTCCTCCGCCTCCGCCTCCGCCTCCGCCTCCGCCTCCGCCTCCGCCTCCGCCTCCTCCTCCTCCTCCTCCTCCTCCTCCTCCTCCTCCTCCTCCTGGGTGCGGTCGCGACGCCGCCCCGGGCGCCCCGCTGAGGCCCCCGCTGCGTGGGCGCTCCAGCTCCTTCCCCTCCTAGCTTCCGCGGCCGCTCCTCTCTTCTCCCTTCTTTGAAGGGGCCCACAAACACAAATAAATACACACAAATAAAAAGATTCCCCATATTTTCCCACAGTTTCTTGGTTTTTGTCTTCCCCCCCACTTCCCATATTTTCGCATATTTTCTGGGGAATCGACGATTAATTTGTGTCTGTGTGTTTCTTTCCCTCCTGATTCTTTCCCCCTTGCGCCCGGACAGTTCGCAATGCCATCACCTGCCTTGACCGAGCGCGCGTGCGGACTGCCTCTGCCGCGCTGCAGCGCAAAATCTTCCCGAGCCTCACATAACGATCGGGGGCGGCCGAGAGGGGGGCGTCCAAAAGGAGGGGGCGCAAAGCATGGCCTGCGACACGTGCGCGGCCCATGGAGTAGGGCTGGAGACGCATTGAGATGTGAAGAGTTGCAATGACATCTGGGGAGATATCATGGTCCCCGCCATGATCTCCCCCCCTAGCCCCCCCCTCCTGGCCGCCCTTGGAACGAGCAGGTGTGGCGCTGGGACATGGAAGGGACGGGAAGGGGGGGGGAAGGGAGAGGAAAGGGAAAGGGAAAGGGAGTGGATAAAAAGGGATGGGAAAGGGAGGGAAAAGGGACAAGGGAGAGGGGCGAGGGCAGGGAATGGAGGGGGAAGGGGAGAGGGAAGGGAGAAGAGAAGGGAGAGGGAGAAGGGAGAGGGAGAGAGAAGCGAAGGAGGAGGGAAGGGAGAGGGAAGAAGTTGTGGCCATCCTCCTCCTCGTCCTCCTCCTCCTCCTCTTCTTCCTCCTCCTCCTCCCTCTCCTTCTCCTCCTCCTCCTCCTCCTCCTCCTCCTTCTGAAAAGGGGGGCGGAGCGGGCCGGCCGGCGGGGCGGTGGGGGTGGGCCCTCGGGGCGGAGCCAGCTGGGCGGCGTGTACACGTCGCCCTCGGCCACTCCTGGGCGCAGGGCGGCGCCTTCTCGCCACCGCTCGGGCGTCGTCCGAGGAGGAGGAGGAGGAGGAGGAGGAGGAGGAGGAGGAGGAGGAGGAAGAGGAGGATCAGGACGATCAGGAGGAGGAGGAGGAGGAGGAGGAGGAGGAGGAGGAGGAGGAGTAGAGGAGGAGAGGAGGAAGGGGAGGAGGAGGAGGAGGAGGAGGAGGAGGAGGAGGAGGAGGAGGAGGAGGACGACGACGAGGGCGAGGAGGGCGAGTAGGAGGGCCCCCCCGCGGCCTCCGACAGCAGCCCCCGACGCACTGCTTCGGGCACCGCGGGGCCCTCGCGTTGACAACCGCGAGGCACCCTGCGCTAAGCGGAGGGGGGGGCGCAGGGCGGAGAAGCACGTGCTCTAGTGGCGTCGCCCTCATTACCAACGGCAAAAGGACTCCTCTCGCCTGTGCACGCCGCTTCGCCTCGCCGCACGCACGGCACGAACACAAAACCGGAACCGGCTTCCCGGTGGGGGGACATCAAATTCACTTCGATCGCACCCAGCAGCCCCCGACACACTGACTTGTGCACCGCAAGACGCAAACGTTGTGATACCAAACTTTGTTCAACCTGACGGTAAGATTGGGAGGACCAGGAGGAAGAGGAGGAGGAGGAGGAGGAGGAGGAGGAGGAGGAGGAGGAGGAGGAGGAGGAGGAGGAGGGGAGGAGGAGGGGAGGAGGAGGAGGAGGAGGAGGAGGAGGAAGAGGAGGAGGAGGAGGAGGAGGAGGAAGACGAGGAAAAGGGGAATATGTTGGTTTGGACCCGATCGAACAACGTGCGAACTGCTCCTGACGACGACTCTCGGACAACATCAAAAATGCCGCCTCTGCAGATTGGGGAAGAAAACTGGCCATCGCTCGGACGTCCATTCCTCATGCATTTGTTCGACTCCGTGCGTGTAATTTTCGCACGGTGACCCAACAAGCTGCTCGATGGTCCTCGCCGAGGAAAGCTGCACACGTCCGAGCGATGCCAGGACGTGTGCGCACGCCAACAGGGGCGGGATGAGCGTGAGGAGGGGAGGAGGAGGAGAGGGAGGAGGAGGAGGAGGAGGAGGAGGAGGAGGAGGAGGAGGAGGAGGAGGGGCTCTGAGGCGAGACGAAGCCAGGACGAGGACACAATCGGACGAGGATGAATCGAGAACCTCTGAGATCCCGCAGCTCTGGAAAATGATGTCTCGGGCGCCGCGGCCTGCTCGGAGCGCTCTGGGACGCTCTGAGCGAGCGCCCCGGAAGGCTCTGGAATGGATTTCTTCTCGCCGCAGCCCTGCCCCCCGCCCGATGAGGTGCCCCTCGCCCCCCTCCGCGCGCCCGGACCGAGGGGCGTTGCACCGACCACCATCCTTCGGTCGGGCATGCTCTCCTGCGGGCGGACGTTGGAAGACAGACATGTTCAAAAAGGACCCCCCCAGCATGCGCAAAAACAGGCAAAACAGCGAACACATCGTGCCCAGACGTTTTTTTATATTAAAAAAACACTCTTACACACCCCTCATGTGGAGGGACTTGCCCGACCGAACACCCTCCACGCCGCGACCCCACGGGCCACGCCGAGCCCCACTGGGGCCCAGGCAGGGCGCCCCAGCGGGCTTCACACAAGGGCCCCTGGGGGGCCAGGCCACGCCCGGCCCTCCCCCCCCCCCCTCCGCCCCACAACGGCCGGCGAGGAGGCGGGTGGGCGGCTCCATATCCCCCCCGCGGGCCACCTCGGCGGAGGGAGAGGTGAGGAGGAGAAGGGGTGAGGAGGGGAGAAGGGGCGAGGAGGAGAAGGCGAGAGGGGGATGATGCGAGATGACGCGAAGGCACCGCGATGCTTTCGAGTCTGCCATTGCTCGCCGTCGCTGTCTGTGCTGCAGGCCCTGAATGCTTTCACGGAGCACTCCGCCTCTGGAGACCCTGCACACGAAACACCCTGAAAAGCACAGCAGTGCCGACAAGGCTCCCCGTCGAGTAGAGTCGCAGGGCACGTCCAATGGCATACCTATGAGATCGGTCAACGGTCTACAACGAGGTTTGGGGGGCAAGACCAACAACGGACTCGCTGTGTACGTATCTGTCTACCCGTCGGTATCATTGAGTCACTCCTGCCGAAGACGCCGAGCGTCTGTTGGTTAGCAGGTCGGTAATAAATTCCAGGTGCCAGCAGCGCCGAGCGCTCTTCCAAGGTACTTCGACATCCCCTGGCGCCGAAGGCGCCGAGCGCATTTTGTCAACATTTGGTCGACATCTCGAGGCGCCAGACACGCCGAGAGTATTTGTTTGTTGCAATGTTGGTCGAAACCTCGAGACGCCGAACACGCCAAGCACATTTGTTTCTCGAACTCCATCGGACCAACCATCAAGAACACAATCGGGACAACTACGGGGCAACCATCGGGACAACTATCGGGACAACCATCGGACAACCATCTGGACAGCCGTCACGACAACCATCCGGACAACCGTCGGGACAACCATCGGGAAAACAATCGGGACAGCCATCGGGACAACCACGGGAACAACGGCTGGACAACCGTCGGGACAACCACGGAACAAACATCAGGACAAACATCGGAATAACCATCGAGACTTCCGCGAGACAAATGCGGGTCAACAACGCGACAACCACGGGACAATCGCGGGACAACCGCGAGGCACCATGCGCTAAACCGGGGGGGGGGGCGGAGAAGCATGTGCTCTGACGTCGCCCTACCAACGGCGGGATGACCCCATTCGCCCGTGCACGCAGCTTCGCCTCGCCAGCACGCACGGCACGAACACAAACCCGAAACCGATTTCCCGGAGGGGGATATCGATTTCACTTCGATCTCACCCAGCAACCCCCGACACACTGATTCGTGCATCGCAAGCCATAACCGTTGTGACACCAAGTTTCGTTAAACCTGACGGTAGGATGGGGAGGAGGAGGAGTAGGAGTAGGAGGAGAAAGAGGAGGCGGAGGAGGAGGAAGAAGAAGGCGAGGAAAAGGGGGATCGGTTGGTCAGGACCCGATCGAACAAGGTGTGAACTGCTCCTGGCTACGACTATCGGACAACATCAAAATTGTGGCCTCTGCAGATTGGGGATGAAAACTTTCCATCGCTCGGACGTCCATTCCTCGTGCATTTGTTCGACTTCGTGCGTGTAATTGTCGCAAGAGGACTCGCCATGCTCCTCGAGGGTCCTCGCCAGGGAAAGCTGCACACGTCTGAAGGATGCCAAGAAAAGGAGCGGGCCGGAGGGAAGGGGCAAGGCTCAGGTCGGGCATGTCCTCCTCCAGGCGGATTCTGAAGGAACGATGAAACAGAGTTGGAATGATAGGCGAACAGAATCGGAAGAATAGGCGAACATAGTCGAAAGAGCACGAAGGATCGTCACCCGAATATTTCTTGGCTATGTTCGAATGCTCCTCCTGTAAGGGGGCATGCCCGATTCAAGGGAACGGTGGGGGGGGGCCGGGGGCTCCTCCCCTCGCAGCGCCACGCTTCCGACCCTGCTCCAGGGGTCCGAAGAAGGCGGCCTAGGCGCGGAGGCTCTCCGAAGGAGGGGCGGGCCACCTCGGGCTGCGTGGGTCCCTCGTGGGGCCCGTTTGAGCCTTCGCAGGGGGGTCTGAGCTCGTTGGGGCCCCAGAAACCCATCCATCGCCCGGGAAAGAGGAGGAGGAGGAGGAGGAGGAGGAGGAGGAGGGGGAGAGGAGGAGGATGCCCCAGGGCCCCCCGATGCAGTGGATGTGGATGTCGCTGTCAGGGCCCACGCGAGAACATCTGCATCCTCCGCCTTCTGGGGTCCATATGATCATCGGCTCCCTAGGTGGTGGGTGCAAGGGCGCTTCGAAACCCAAGCATGATCGCGTCGTAAAATAATGGGGACGGGAGGCTGTTGGCTATCTTCGGCGCCGGGGGGGCCCTCGCCCGGCCTCGGGGCCGTCAAAGAACGACTCGGGGCGAAACAGCGGTCGCGGGGAAAGGGTCGGGACTTCCAGGGACACCGTGCTTACAAAACCAGGACGTCTCACGTCTGGGGTCGGGCTTCGTGCCCATCTACGGAGGAGGAGGAAGGGGAGGAGGTTGGAGGAGGAGAAGGAGGAGGAGGAGGAGGAGGAGGAGGAGGAGGAGGAGGAGGAGGTTGGAAGAGGAGGTTGGAAGAGGAGGAGGAGGAGGATAAGGAGGAGGAGGTTGGAAGAGGAGGAGGAGGAGGAGGAGGAGGAGGAGGAGGAGGTGGAGGAGGAGGAGGAGGAGGAGGGTTGGACGTCGCATGTCTGGGCTCTCGGAGCGTCCTCGGGACGCGCTCGCGCTCCCGCGCGGCGAGGAGGAGGCCAGGAGCCCCTCCCTCCCCGAAGCTCCCTCTCCTCCTCCTCCTCTCCTCCTCCTCCTCCTCCCTCCTCCTCCTCCTCCTCCCCCTCGCCCGTCGCCGCAGATCCCCCCTGGCCCTCACGGAGCCCCTCCCCTCCCCGGAGCGAGAGGAGGGGGGTTAGAGCAACGGCCTCGCTCCACCGCGCACGCCCCGACGGGTGGGTGGGGGCGGGCGCAGCCCTCGCCGCGCAGTCGTCTCGGCGGCGAGGCATGTTATACTAAATGAATAAATAGATAAATAAATGCATCGATAAATACATAAATAAATAAATAAATAAACACATTGCTTAATTAATAAATGCATAAATAAGTAAATACTTACAGAAATAAACACATACATAAGTAAATACATCAATAAATAAATAAAACTACATGAATAAATACATACATAACTATATACATATACATATACATATGTATATATGTGTATAGATGTATATCCTTCCAGGCAACCTTTGGTTCTGGGCGACACACTTTGTGCAACGGCGAGATGAAGATGTCACGGGATAGCTCTGGGAGGTGGTGAACAATACAGAAGATTGATGTTCCCGAAAAATGTCCGTCTTCGGCGGCGAGAAATGGGGGTGGGGAGGGAGAAAGGGCCCTCTCAGCAGGCGGCGGGGTTTCTCAGAAGCCCTCGCGCCCTCTGAGATCTCTTCTGTGCCCTCGGGGCAGGCTTGGCAGACTCCTCAGAAGGCCGAGGGGATTCCGAACCTTCTGAGAAGGCCTTCTCCTTCTCACTCCCCACCCTCGCTCGCCGCCGAGTGGGGGGACGCAGATCTCGCTGCGAAATCATCGAAACGGGAGGGGTTGGGCCGTCTTCGGACTCTGGGGGCTCTTGCCAGGCCCCTACGAGGGCATCAACAAAACAGATCGGTATGAAGAGCTGGTCCCGAGCTCGGTGGTAACTCATGGGGGACTCCCATACCATCTTGTTGTCCGACGCTTATCGGCGCCAGTTGACGGTGATCGACGCTAAATCGAGGCTAATCGACGCTAGCCGACGCCAATCAATGCTTAATCGGCGCTACCTCAGTTACTACCAGACGCTCCTCGACGCTACTCGACGCTACTCGACGCTAAAGGCGATGATCTGCTGCCGAACCCAAGTGAAGTAGTCTAGACCTCTGGGGTTCCAGGCGAAGAATCCCGCGTCGATTCTGTGGGGGCCTGGGGCTCCGGCGGCCCTTGTCCGGGCGACTCGAGCAGCCCTGGAGCCCCTCCCCCGGCGAGGCGCAGGTGCCGCCCCCCTGCTCGACACCCAGTGTTTGTTTACCCACGTCCTGGTGGAGAACTTCTGTCCTAGAACACCCTCTCATTCTTTTCTCCTCCGTCCTCCTCCTTCCTCCTCCTCCTCCTCCTTCTCTTCCTCCTCCTCCTCCTCCTCCTCCTCCTCCTCCTCCTCCTCCATCTACAATTACTCAATATGAATACACTCTCCTCCATCCCCTGATGGCGTGCGGAATATAGCGGACACCCCTCCGCGTATTGTTTTTCACACACAAGATTTCCCAGAGTTGGGTTTTCGCTTGGTTTTTTTTTCAAAATGCTGCTCTCGCTGAGGCGCCGGCCTCATTTTCGGGCTTCCGCTCGTTCCGAATCGTGCTCCCGCTGCAGCGTGGGCCTCATTTTCCGATCGGTGTTTTGCCTCCGTCGTTCAGGATGGCGTTCTCGCCCCAGCGCGGGCCTCTTCTCGCGCGCCCATCCGCCCGCCACCACCGCACCGCGCCCGGCCCCGCCCACCGCCACTTCCACCCAACAACGCACGCACGCACGCACGCACGCACGCGCACCACCACCGCGCACCGCCACCACCACCCCACTACCACCACCCCACTACCCCACCCACCACCACGACGCTACACCGCGTCACACCACATCACACGCGCGCGCACACAGACACACACACACACGCACGCACGCACGCACGCATGCACGCACGCACACACGCACACACACACACACACATACACACGCACACACACACACACACACACGCACACACGCACACACGCACTCACGCACACACACCACCACCACCACCGCCACCGCCACCACCGCCATCACGCACGCACGCACCTGGCCCACCACCAAACCACCAAGACGCCACACCACGTCACACCACAGCACACGCGCACACAAGCACACACACACACACCACCACCACCACCACCACCACCACACCACACCACACCACACCACCCACAACCACAACCACAACCACCAACCACGCACGCACGCACGCACGCACGCACGCGCACCACCACCCACTACGCACGCGCGCGCGGAGCCACAGGTCCGCTACGACACGCGTCCGCGGATAGAGAAAATCAGCGCCATGGTAAGGGATGGGAGGGAGGGGTAGGACGTCAGATATGACGCGAGCGCACCTAGCTTGCCCCTCCCCCTCCCCCTCCTCCTCCTCCTCGTCCTGCTCCTCGTCTCCTCCTCCTCCTCTCCTCCTCCTCCTCATGCTCTCCTCCTCTCTCCTCCTCCTCGTCCTCCTCCCCTTCCTCGTCCTACCCCCTCCTCGTCCTCATCCAACTCCTCCCGTCCTCCTCCTCCTCCTCCACCTCCTCCTCCTCCTCCTCCTCTTATTCTTCTTCTTGTCCTCCTCCTCCTCCTCCTCCTCCTCCTCCTCCTCCTCCTCCTATCCCCGAAGCGAGAGGGCCGGCCAGAGCCGACGACCCCGTCTCCGAAGAATGCCGAGAGGCAGAGGTTCGAGAGAGATAGATTCGGGCCCGTGCCAGCCGCGGGCGATGGCAGACAAGCGCGAAGAGGATTGCGGGCGAGGGGCCCCGATGGGCATGACTCATGACGGGATGAGGAGGAGGAGGAGGAGGAGGAGGAGGAGGAGGAGGAGGAGGAGGGTGAGAAGGAGGAGGAGGAGGAGGAGGAGGAGGAGGAGGAGGAGGAGGGGGAGGAGGGGAAGGAGGAGGAGGAGGAGGGGGGAGGAGGAGGGGAAGGAGGGGGAGGAGGAGGAGGAGGAGGAGGAGGAGGAGGAGGAGGAGGAGGAGAAGGGGGAGGAGGAGGAGAGAGAGGAGGAGAAGAAGGATGAGGAGGAGAAGGAGGAGGGCCCCTCCACCGCGTCTCGGGCTTTCGGGGCGTCCCTCCCCGCAGATGCCACCGGCGCGGTGGATCTGCGTCCCAGCCCTGCCCTTTTGAGGTCGGGCGGTTCTGCATTCCCAGCGCGTCTCGCACGCGTTCTGCGTGTGAGCGCTGTCTTCCTCGGCGTTTCGGCACTCGGCGGAAAGGAGGGGGGGAGGGGGGCCTTGTGGGCCCCGGAAACGGCAGGGTCGCTTTTCACCGTTTCCGAAAAAGTGTCCCTTGAAAATGGAAACGGCAAGAGTCGCAAAACTGTGCGAGAAACAGTTTCGAGGATGGAGGGCGGCTCCTTTTCAAAACGCTGTTCTCGCCTCAGCGCCGCAGACATTCGTCTTCAAAGCGTGCAACATCTTCACGGATTGAGGGCGGCTCGATTTCTAAATGTGGCTCACGCGGTAGCGCCGCGCACATTCGTCTCAAAGGTTTGCAGCAAGCTCCAGATATGTTAGTGCCAGACACGTGCTGGCACGATTTGGGATTGCCAGGACGCAGCAGTCCAGTTGATGGCTGTCTGGCGCGGTTCAGGATTGTCAGGACCTAACAATCACGTGACCTCGCGGCGTGCAGAGCCAGAACCGGTCAAAAAAAGGCGACGGAACCGGTAACAAAAAACGGCGTCGGGACCGGCAAAAAAAACGGCAAAACGGAGCCCGTAAAAAACGGCCCTGTCGTTTCCAGGGTCCACTATAGGGATGGGGGGGGGTCCGGCTCCACACCTCTGCTCAACGCAAGACTGTTTGCAGCAGGGCGTCCTGTGAGGGAGGCTCCGCCTGCTCGAGGCAGGAGCCGAAACACAGCCAAGGTCCACTCCATGGGGAGGGGGGAGAGCGGGGTGCGAGGGCCCGCGCCGATAGGCCGAACAGCGGCAAACGGTCGCCATTCCCGCCGCGTCTCGCACTTTTGTTCTGCACGCGCCCTCAAACAATCCAAGGCGCCGTGGGCACGGACGTCGACCCTGCCCGAAACGGGCGGTGGCGGCGATCCCCCGCCGACGGGGCGGGCGGGCGGATGCAGAAAGAGATGCGAGCCGCGGGGGGAATGCATGGCTGTATGGCCACCTGACCTCGAAGGGCGAGGCTTGTGCGCACAGCCACCGCGCCCTGGGCTTCCGGGGAGGGGCGTCCGAGAGTCCGAGACGCCGTGGGCACGGACATCGACGCCGCCCGCACGGGCGGCGGCAACGGTCCTCCGCCGACGGGGCGGGCCACCTCCTGCGACATCGCCTGCTTCACCTTCTCGATCTCCTCGCCCGCGGCACGGCTGCTGCGTCGGCGGCGGCGGCGGCCGTGCGCACCGCGGAGGCCTCTCGCTGGTGCCGCGGCTCGGACGCACAGGGGTGGCACCAGAGTGGACTCAGGTCGGGCATGTTCTTCGACAGGCGGATGTTGGAAGAAAGCAAAACATGCTACGATTCAAACGTCAAAGACAATGTAACAATATTTGAATATCCCTCATGTAGAGGGACATTCCCGGCTGAAGTACTGAAGAATGGACCCTTAAGAGCCAGGAGATTGCTGACCAGGACATCGAGAGCTCAAGCTCGAGGGAGCGAAGACATGGAGAGTTTCGGCACACGGCTGCAATGTTCTCTCGGTCGCGCCGACGCCTGGTACATCAGCGTCCCTTTGCAGGGGGCCCTGACAGAGGATTGGACCCCGTCCCCCAGACTAATTATACACATCAAACTCTTGTCAACGGTCACAGGGCCCGGCAGTGCCCCGGGCATACGACAACTGTCAACAAAACTTCCCCTTGTGCTGTTTCCGCGATGCGACGCAGGAGTAACAGACAAACAATGTGCACACTTCATCGAAAGACTACGAAGTGCGTAAATGTAGCGGCGTGCGATTGCGAAGATGGGAACAACAAGTACTGGGGAATCGTGAGCAAGCGGGCGTGGACATCGCCAATCCTTGTTGGTCCGTATGTGTCTCAAGAACGTCTCCAGCTGCACGTTCACGAAGGTTCCTGCATCCTCCCGCGCCTCAACAGCCTTCAACCGCGACTCGCCGTACCAGGCTTCCTTCAGGCGGTGTTTCTTCCCCTCATTCCGCAGCAGCAACTGACGTCTACGGAAACTCAGGCACTCCGTCGGTACAAAAGCTGTGCCGCTGGAGAAATGCGCGCTACCGCCATCAGGAAACATATCAACACATACCGACAAGTTGGCGAGCACCTATTTGCGCCATGTGCTCCGATCTCTGTCTTCCCCCCGGCACGTCCGAAAAGTGTGCGGGAGACTCGACTGCCTGTGTCGCTGCGACTGCCTGTGTCGCTGCCTCCTGGACGGCAGCTGCGCAGTCGCTTCCGGCGCAAGCGTGCACTCTGGTTGCCCTCTGCGAGGATGGCCTGGCGCCACGGCACACGGGGGAGGAGCCCCCAGGAGCGCCTGTCTCGGACTGCGGGGCGCCCCCTCCCGCGAATCCGTCTTCGGTCGGCCACGCCCGCCACGCCCTGGCCGTCTTGGGGCGCACGGCCGCCACTGCGCCTACCATCCTCCGGCCCGGGGGCCGGGCGCCCCGAGGCGGCGCGGTCGCATTGGCCCGCGGACATCGCGGTGGCCCCACCAGGGGGCCGAGGGACTCCCTGAGGCAGGCTCCGACGTCGCCAATACGAGAGTGCCGCATCGTGGACGGCCACGGCCAGCCCCCCGGAGCTCCACTGGTCCGCGGCACTCCTCGAAGGGGGCCGATCGCGCAGGAGTCCCCTCCCCTCCCCTCCTCCTCCTCCTCCTCCCCCTCCTCCTCCTCCTCCTCCTCCTCCCCCGCTCCCCTCCTCCCTCCGCCTCCTCCTCCTCCTCCTCCCTCCTCCTCCTCCCTCCTCCTCCTCCTCCCTCTCCTCCTCCTCCTCCTCCTCCCCTCCTCCCTCCCCTCCCCCTCCTCCTCCTCCTCCTCCTCCTCCTCCTCCTCGTCCTCGTCCTCCTCCTCCGTCTCCTCGTCCTCGTCCTCGCCTTCCTCTTCCTGCACCGTCTCCTCCTTCTCCTCCTCCACCTCATGGCATTATGAACAGTTCCTCCTCATCAACAGACATGTTGGTACGGCTGGGGCGGGCATTCCGCGTGAGACGTCATCGCCGTGCTAATCCCGAACCTTGACAGCCCGAGCAGCCACACGGAAGGAGAGCAGGGAGCTGTACACAGGCAATTCTCGCCCCAGGGCCGCCTGCACTCGCTTTTAAAATCTGCCCCAACGGCTGCCAGGATTGGGGGGCCGCATGCGAACCCTACCCCTACCCCCCACGGTTTCTGAAGGGGAGGGTGGGGTTCACTTCGTTCGGGACCTCCCGAGCGAAGTGAACCCAACCCTCCCCCTCAGAAATCTTGGTGGGTAGGGGTAGGGTTCGCATGTGGCCCCCCAAGGATACAAACAGCATCCTTTTGAACGCGCGGCTCGCCTCAGCGCCGCTCGCGCTCGTAATATGGCAATCCCCCGCAGCCGCACGGAGGGAGGGCGCTGGAGACGCTCCGTGTTCCTTTGCTGCCAGGCAGGGAGAGCTGCCTAACAAGCTGCACGGGTGCGGGGCGGCTCACTGCTCAACATGCGCATGCTCGCCGGAAGCTTCTCTTAGGCTGCGTGAGCAGAGATGGCAGTGCGCAACAGCTCCACGGACAGAGCGCTACACTTGTCAAGAGCAGGGCCCTCGCTCGGAATCCCAGACATGCCATTGCTAGGCAGAAGAAAGACGGCTCCTGTCTGAAAACGGGGCTCTCGCATGAATGCCAGGCCCATGGGACGCTCGGCTTGCACGAAAACGCTGGGTCTGGTTGCTTCTGAACAAGATCAGGCCGAGCATGTCCTCCTACAGGCAGTTCTTGAAAGAAAAAATGAACCTAACCAAACAAATATTCAACAATGGTCAACAGGGCACGAAATATCGTCCCCAGACTATATGTTGGACCATCTTTGGGTATCCCCCCTGTAGAGGGCCATACCCGACTTAAGAGTAAGAGCTGGAGTCGCCGAAAAGTTTCGCAACATGGCCGCCCGCACCCGCAGCCGCAGCCGGGTAGCCGCGTCAGCGGGCGGCCGCGCTCGCAGCCGCACCTCCGAAACTGGAAACACGCTCGGGGCCGCTGGCGGGCGCCCACGCCCCCGGCCGCACCCGCACCAGACAACCGCACAATCGCAACACACAACCCGCACCCGTCGCCCTGGGGGGACACGGGTCCTGAGGGACACGGGTCCTGGCCCAGACGTGATCGCGTCGTGCGGATATGACGGCGGGAGAGCCTCGAGACCATTAAGAAACGACTCGGGACGAAAGCTCGCTCCCCGGGAAGGGGTCGGGACGCTCAGGGGCGCCGTGCTGTCCTGGAGAAGGCAGGGCTTCGCACGTCTGGGGAGGGGGAGCGGGTCCTGAGAGGTGTTCCTCCGCGTTCGGGCTCTCGGCGCCCTCCGTCCCCCTCGCCCTCCGTCCTCCTCCTCCTCCTCCTCCTCCTCCTCCTCATGATCCTCCTCCTCCTCCTCCTCCTCCTCATCATCAGCATTAGCATCAGCATCAGCATCAGCATCAGCATCAGCATCAGCATCAGCATCAGCATCAGCGTCATCATCAGCATCATCATCATCATCATCATCATCATCATCATCATCATCCTCATCCTCATCCTCATCAGCATCAGCATCAGCATCAGCATCAGCATCAGCATCATCAGCATCATCAGCATCATCAGCATCATCAGCATCATCAGCATCATCAGCATCATCATCATCATCATCATCATCATCATCATCGTCACCATCATCATCATCATCATCATCATCATCATCATCATCGTCATCATCATCATCATCATCATCATCATCATCATCAGCATCATCATCATCGGGCCCTGGGACGGTCCGAGAACGACTCGGGAGGAGGAGCTCGTCCTGGGGGAAGAGTCCCAGGGCTCCAGGACTCGTTTCCGTCGGGACTCGCTGACCCCATGCCGAGATCCCGATCCCGCGCGCGCGCCCACCCGCAACGGCGGCCGCAACTCAGGAGCACATGTCGGGCCATCGTCATAGCTGGCCATCGCTCGGACGTCCATTTCCTGTGTTTTGTTGTCGGTTTCGTGCATGGTTTTTTCGCCAAATGATCAAGGATGCTCCTCGATGGTCCTCGCCGAAGGAAAAATGCACACGTCCGAGCGATGCCAAGATAGTCTCCATCACCACCGCAGTGTGACCATCATCATCGTGAGATGTTCGTATTGTGGAAAGCGGGGTGCGCTCCGACCAGAATTTCGAGGCGAATCCAACCGTAGCGACGAGGGCCTCCCAGGAGGCCCAGAAAAGCAAAACCGAAGCAAAAGCAACGGTATTGGTACCTTTTCCTCCTCTGAATATATGCCGTCGTCGTCACCGTTGCCATCACCGCCGTCATTTACACAACTCTCGCTACCATCGTAAACATGTCCACTACTACTACCCGTATCTGGGGAAGCCGAGAGATACCGCTGCCGCTGCTTCCGGACCTTGTGGGCGCGCCCTGACGGGACGATCAGGAGGAATTCAGCCGTGGCGACAAACGCTCTCCAGGAGCAGCAATGGTATACGTACCTTGTCCTCCTGTGAGTGCTATCCCAAGTTGCCGTCATATGCGAGCAATATTTCTGTCCACATCCAATCCAATGCGCCTCGGCCTTGTGGCGCCCCTTCCAAAAGAAATCCATGACGCACTGGATATGGATACGAGGCTTGCCCGCACAGGAGTCGGTGGCGCGCCCAGGGGGGGAGAGGAGGCAGTGGGGGCGGGGGAGGCAGCGGGGGCGAGGCCTTATCGGAGGGCTCGGAAGGCCTCGGCCCCTCCGAGAAGCTCTCCGAGCCTGCTCCGAAGCCCCGCCGCCTCTCGAGGAGACCTGACACGCCCCCTCTCTTCCCTCCTCGTCTTGCCGCCGAAGGCCGAGACCTCGGGGGGTACACACACTTTGGAGTCGTCTCGGCGGCGAGCCTACGCCGTAGCATTTTTCTCCGACGTCGTGATTTTCTCTCGAGGCGTGAATCCCCGAAAGGCGTTGGACCACTTCTCTTGCGCAGGCTCTCACCCCGAGCAGTGTTAGGACGGCCCCAGGGCCCTGTGCCGAAAACTGCCAAATCTAGAACAAAGCATAGCAGCGTAAACAGAAACTCTCGGAGCTCCGCGCTGGACCCCGCCAGGGGCGGCACAAGAGGCGCCTCCAGGGGGGCATAGCGCAGATCCAAAAGATCCGCGCGGACCTCCGAAAGGGAAACCTCCGCAGTCTTTTCTTACTCGAGAGTCGCTTCTTCACGCAACGAGCGAAAGCTTGGGAGGCACTGAGGGGAAGAGAAAGGAGAGAGGAGAGAGGAGAGAGGAGGAGGAGGAGGAGGAGGAGCAGCAGCAGCAGGAGGAGGAGGGGGCGGGCGGGAGGGCGAGGAGGGGGGGAGGAGGTTGGGGAGGAGGGGAGGAGGAGGAGGAGGAGGAGGAGGAGGAGGAGAGGAGGAGGGGAGGAGGAGGAGGAGAGGAGAGGGGAGAAGAAGGAGGAGGGGAGGAGGAGGAGGAGGAGGAGGAGGAGGAGGAGGAGGAGGAGGAGGAGGGGGAGGGAGAAGGAGGAGGAGGGAGGGAGGGACGCGCCGCCTTTGCCCGCTGGAGCAGCGCGTACTTGGCCTTCGGGGGCAGCTGCTCGAACTCCTCCAGCGCCACTGGCCCGTCCAGGGGCACGGTGACCACGCCGCCGCCCGGCAGCACGTAGCCCTTCCACTCGTCGGGCTCCCTCATCCTCAGGGGCGAACACGTTGACCTAAGGAACCCTAAATAAGGAACGAGGACCCCTTTTTTCCATAAGTTAAACTTTGATTCCCCATCGAGAACCTGGAGAAAACCTGGGGCAAACTCTGAAACAAGGAAGGAACACGGAGCCCCTCCCCAACGAGAAGGGTTCCTTCTTCAGCGCCCCGACTGTACTGTGCTTGATCCCAGCCATCCCCCTCCGCGAGCGCGAGGCGGCACCCCCAAAGAGCACCTGCGCACTTCTGGGGCCCGGCGCCTGCGGTGAGCAGACGCCATTCCTCGCAGGTCCAGCGCTCTCTCCACCGCTGCCTGGCCGGCCCTAACTTCAAGCTTCTTGGCATTCGTTGGGATACGAAGCTTTAAATGGGAACACCAGCACGCTCTGGGCCCGGCGGCCGCGATCCGCAGGGCATGCGAGGCGGGTCGGGAGCTCCTCCCATCTTTTACTTTGAAATATGCGGGTGCGCGCAACATGCGGCGAGTTCGTGCTGAGGAGGAGGAAGAGGAAGAGGAAGAGGAGGAGGATGAGGAGGAGGAGGAGAAGGAGGAGGAGGAGGAGGAGGAGAGGAGGAGGAGGAGGAGGAGGAGGAGGAGGAGGAGGAGGAGGAGGAGGAGGAGGAGGAGGAGGAGGAGGAGGAGGAGGAGGAGGAGGAGGAGGAGGAGGAGGAGGAGGAGGAGAGGGGAGGAGGAGGAGGAGGAGGAGGAGGAGGAGGAGGAGAAGAGGAGGAGGAGGAGGAGGAGGAGGAGGAGGAGGCGTTGGCTTCTGGCGTGTGAACCATTCAGCGCTGAATGACCGCGGCCTGCCGATAGCGCAGGCCGCTCGATGTCGGCCGAGTCTGGGCCACCGTCGGCGTGGAATCGTCAACGCCCGTGCTGGGGACGCCGCCAGGTCGCTCCGACACGAGCCTGCCGCAAACTTCCGGAGGTCCGAACTAATGTCTTAAATCAGCGGTTGGAAGCAAGCAAGGGCTTGGCCCTGGAAACGACCAGGCTGCTTTTTGTTCTGGTTCCGTTTTGTCGTTTTCTCGCCGGTTCCATTGCCGTTGATTTGCTGGTTCCGTCGCCTTTTTGTTTGGATCTGGTTCTGGCTCCAATCCTGGAGCCGTTCTTTTACTGTTTCCAATCGCCGTTCTTGTACCGTTTACATTTTCAAGAGATATGGTCTCGAAACGGTGAAACAAACGGCCCTGCCGTTTCCAGGGCCCACGAAGGCCAAGGGGGTTAGCGCCAGGTGGGCGCCGATAGAATGTGTGGAAGGGGGGACGACTGAAAATCCTCTCAAAATCTGTCCCTGCCGGCTCTGACTGCATCAGGATGTCTGATGTCCTCGAAGCAGTAAAGAAGGAAAACACTATAGTTGAAAGAAGGCGCCGACAAGTGCATACTTGTTGAGAGGATGCAGAACATGCAATCACTTGTTGTCGCTGATGCACAAGATGCAATCAAATTATTGTTGCTGCTGGCGGCCGGAACCGGCGGCTGCAAGGCACGCGGCGTGCCACGGCCGGAAGACCGCCAGTTTGTAGTTGAGCACCCGGTACGCCAAAGTGCAGAGTTGAGGGCGGTGGTGGTCGTGCCAACCGTGCAGCATGGACCCCTCACTCCCGCGTCCAGCCGTGGCAACGAGCAAGCTCCGTTCTTCTCCTTTCCTGCTGGCCAGAACCAGCGCTCGCACACCTCTGCCCCACAGCGTACTCCAACCGCGCGGACCTTCAGAAGTTTACCTTCACTTGTATATTATTATTAGTATTATTGTTGTTATTATTATCATTATTATTAGTATTAGTAGTAGTATTCTTTTTCTTTATTATTATTCTTCTTCTTCGTACTTTTCTTGTTCCTCGGATCCTGCCGCCGCGACGCGGGCGCTCTGGCCGGGGGGCGGCAACTGACCACCTCACCGCTCCTGGCCGGGCGGATCGTGGCCCAGGACCAGGTCTGCAGTCAGCCCGTGCAGAGAGGGGCCCGCGACACACGCGTGGGTAGACACACATGCCAGTAGTCAGTATACACCCCGCGAAATGCTTTAGAAATCATGGGTTAAGAAACTCATAGTCTCAGAATTTGAACAAAGACCCAGAATGTCCATTCAAATCTTAAGATCTACATTGAAACGTTAAGAATAATCGAGACTCTGGCCGAAAACTTGGGTTTTCTTAAGCATCACCTAAGGTGTACAGTCAACTCGTACAGGAAGGGGCCCGTGACACACCCGTAAGTAGGCACACATTCCAGTGTTCCCATCGTTTCCTATACTTTCGGGGTTCTCGTCCCCCCCCCACTTCCCCTTTTTCCCTTGCGTTCCTGGGAGTCGACGACTCCTTGTGTCTGTGTGGTTTTCTCCTCCTGGGTACAGTGAGGACGCGCGGTAAGGATGCAAGGGCCTTGGAGAGCCATGTTGACGCTCTTCGAGCAGGGCTGGCCAGCGAAAGTTGCCAGGGATGGGCCTAATGGGGCCAGGATGATGCGGAGGGCAGCCTTGGAAAACTCCCTCATCCTCACTATGCGGGTTGACTGTATTCGGGAGCGGCCAAGAGGGGTGTGTCCAAAAGGGGGGGGGTGCAAATAATGACCGGCGGCATGTGCACGGCCCAGCGGGGGGGCCAGGGGCGTAACGAAACAAGAAGAGGCGCCGTGAGATCTGGGGAGATCTCATGGCCCACGCCGTGATATCCACCCCCCCCCCTGGTCATCACCCCCCTCTTTTCCGCCCCCGACACTATGCGGGTTGACTGTACACATGGCCGATCCCGGCAACTCCTGGACGGTTGGGTCGAGCCACATGGCCGATCCCGGCAACTCCTGGACGGTTGGGTCGGGCAACTCCTGGACTCCTGGACACAAGGCCGATCCCGGCAACTCCTGGACGGTTGGGTTGCCGGGAGTTGCCGTCCCGGCAACTCCTGGACGGCAACTCCCGGCAACTCCGAGCCGCATGCTTGGGTCCAGGCTGGACCCAAGCATGCGGCCCTCGCATGGGAGGCCGAAATTTTACCTCCGCGGCCCTCCCGTGGCCTTCCGCCGGCGGAGCCGCCCTCGCTCTGCCTCCGCCGCCCCTCCGCCGCCCTTCCGCCGAGGCAGTGAGACGCGACCGCTCCGCCGACCCCTCGGAGGCGACTCTGAGGGAGCGCCTCGCCCAGACCTCTGGCTGCTCCGAGCCCTTCGAGGGGGCCACACCTCTGTGGGACAAAAACACACGGTGGGAAAACAGCACACGGTGTGTGTTTGTGTTTTTGTATGTTTTTTGTACTCCAGATTTCGTAATGAAAGGGAGGGGGTCTCAACCCTCCCAGACGAGAAGTTTTAGACCCCCCCCCCGTGGGAGAACCCTCCAAAACATCGTCCCCAGACCCCCCCAGGCCCTCCAAGATAGCCTGGAAGAGACCCCACCCGAAATGAGACCCCCCTCCCTTTATTACGAAATCTGGAGTATGTTTTTTTCCCACAGTGTGTTTTTTTCCCACAGACCGTCTCACCCAAACCTCTGGGCCCCGGAGGTCGGGGCCACCACCTCCCCGGGGCATGCTCTCTCCGTCCTGGGCCGTCTGGTGTCACGCTCCCGAGGCCCGGGCGCGGCCCGGCCGGAGGCCGAAAGCTGCCACGAAAGCCCGCCGCTCCAGTTTTTGGTTGGAGGGTCGGATCCCTGGGCGTATGACCTGGTCTTAGGTCGGGCATGTACCCCTACAGAAAAATGAAAAGTGGGCGGACACATCAAAACAATACCGCCACAATGCACCCAAATCATACGACAAATACTGAAAAGTCGGCTCCATACCATTTTTTGCAACTGTTTTTGCAGATTCCTCCTGCAGAGGGACAGGCCCGCCTTAAGCCTGGTCCAGAAACCCTGAGCCTTCAAAAGAAAGGTCGTCTCCTGGGGGGCGTATCTGGGCCCTGAGCCGCTGGCGGAGCCGGACTCGTTCTGCTGTGTATGGCTGCTGGCCTTCCGCCGAGGAAGCGATGTCGGGGCCCTCCCTTCGATCCTCGGACTCGGAGCCCTGTTCCTGGAGCGCCACATGTGGCCGATTTTGGACCTCCCTTCGATCCTCGGACTCGGAGCCTTGTTCCTGGAGCGCCACATGTGGCCGATTTCGGAAGCCCTGACCCCAAACATGGTTTCATCTCTTGGAAGCTTTTCTGTTACTTCCGCCGCCTTCCGCCAGCGGAGGCGGCCTCGTTTTACTTCCGCCGACCTTCCGCCGGCCGTCTGCCGCGAAAAACATGACAACTCCTTCGATCCACGAAGGCAAGGCCCTTTTTGGAACGCCCCATATGCCTCCCTGGCCAACCCAGGACTCGCATACGCTTGCTCCTTGGCTCAGGATCGGCCCTCTGCCAGGATCGCTGAAGCCAGAGATCTCTGGCTTCATGACGGTCTCTTTCACACTCTGAACCCCTCGAAGAATACAGAGGACCCCTTCCCGGGACCGACTCTTGCATCCCGAATCGCTTTCTTGACGGTCACGGAGCCCGGTGCGGCCCCCCAGGGGGCCAACCCTACCAAGAGCCTCCCGAACCCAAAATCCGCCGATACGATCTTTGTCCAAGGCGTGGCCCTCAGTCCCCGACCCCTTTTCCTATCGAAGGGCAGCTTTTCGCCCCGGATCCTCCTCCTCCTCCTCCTCCTCCTCCTCCTCCCCCGCCTCCTCCTCCTCCTCCTCCTCCTCCTCCTCCTCCCTCCTCCTCCTCCTCCTCCTCCTCCTCCTCCTCCTCCTCCTCCTCCTATAGTGGTCCCAGGACGCGGAAACGGCCCCGGAGGGCCGACAACTCTCAGACGTCGCGGCCCGAAGACGTCTCCTCGCCAGAGGCCTGGGATTGCGACCCTGCAGCGCGAGGGGCGGTCTCGGGTGGTCACGTGGCGCCCCCCGATCTGGCACGTGCAGGATGTCCCGCAGCGGCTCCGCGGGGAGCTCCTGACCAGCCCCGGGCATGCGGCGGGGACAACTTGCGCTCGGAGGAGGAGGAGGAAGGAGGAGGGAGGAGGAGGAGGATGAGAAAAAGAAGGAGGAGGAGGAGGAGGGAGGAGGGAGGAGCAGGAGGAGGAGGAGGAGGAGGAGGAGGAGGAGGAGGAAGGAGGAGGGAGGAGGAAGAGGAGGAGGAGGAGGAGGAGGAGGAGGAGGAGGAGGAGGAGGGAGGGAGGGGGAGGAGGGGGGAGGAGGAGGCCCTGAGAGGGCGGCGCGTCGGCTGCTCCGCGGGGGGGGGGGGAGGGAGGAGCGAGCGAGGCGAGGGTCGCCGCTGGTCGCTCTGCTCCGCGGGGCGGGGGGGCTCGGGAGAGGCTCGGGGCGCTGGCGCCTTGGGGACCGCGGCGCGGGCGGCGTGGCGCGCCGACGCGCGGTGGGCCAGAACCTGCGAGGCAGCACGCCACAGCGCAGTGTCTAATGCATAGGATTTTTAAGAACATAGAATTTTAATACGTGCTTACTTTGTGGATACATGTATGCATGAACTCATCGTTGCTTTCAATACGAAATCCCTGCGAGGCAGCACGCCACAGGGCAGTGTTTAATGCATCGGATTTTGAAGAATGAATGATTTTGATGCATGGTTAAGTTATGAATGCATTCATGCATGAACTCATCGTTGTTTTTTTCATACGAAATCCCTGCACGTTTAATACATGATCCGCACGGGGAGCATGTATTGAAAACGGCACCGGAAGCCAAAGATCCTGACCGCATCCCCGTCCGCACGATCCCTGCGATCGACAGGCCCTGGGCGGCGACAGCACTAGGGATGTGCCGTTCTGAGACTGATAAGGGGTCCTTGAGATCGACACCGCGATGAAGTGATGCCAGTCGTAGGGCCCAGAGATCCAACGATGTGCTCTTCTTCACTATCCCCTGAAGTCTGGAACGTTTCCCTGGGCAAGATTTGTTAATCCGAATCAACGTTTGATCGCCCCGGGGCCCATGACGGGCCTGACAAGCCGAAACCTATAACGAACCACAAGCCTGTAAAAACGGGCAGGGTCGAACAGTGTCTCGGAGACTCCCATAATATCTTCGCAATATATTGCTCTGGCGCTTCCCGTCGCGAGTGTCCTGAATGGAAGCCCGAGCCAGGGGCGACCGAGCGTTCCTTGGCGCCCTTCCCCCCCTGAAGCAGCCAACCGCGTTGCCTGCTGCATCGGGGAGATCACGGGGCCCTGAAAGGAAGAAGAGGATTTAGAATAATAATTCTCAGCAAGAGAATAAGACACATAAACATACGAAGAAGAAGAAGAAGAAACCGCCCGAGGCATCCCAACGATCTGGGCGCGGACGGGCAAGGGTACAGTTGGAGCGTTCACCTAAGGAACGGTGAATAAGGAACGAGGCCCCTGTCTTCCATAAGTTAAGCTTCGATCTCCGATCGAGAACCGAAGGAACACCTGAGGCAAACTGTGAAGCAACTCGGGAACACCGAGCCCCTCCCAAACAAAAAGGGTTCTTTCTTCAGCGCCCCGACTGTGACACTCTGCGGCGGCTGCCCCGCCGGGGGCCAAAGTGCCACGACTGCTATGTCGCGAAGATCAGTGGGCTTTGAACATAAAGGAAGCAGGGGTGCCCAAATCCGCGCATCGCCAAAGACAGCTCCACGACCAGGCCACGAGCGGCCACGATCATACCTGCTATACCGTGGTGAGAATGAGGCTTTCAGGGAAGAAGGGTCGGAGACGCCGAACGAACGCCTCTCTCAAGACATGCCAACAATCTGGGCGCGAACAGGCAAGTGTCACCCCGTGGTTCCACTTTGAGGCGTCCAAGTGCTATGCTTGCTGTATCGCAGCGAGCACGGGCGAGTCTGAGTACGAGTAGCGGATCTGACTGGTCTGGGTGCGACAACCGAAATGGCGGCAAGCCATTATTGAGCGTAATGCGGATGCTTCTGAAGGTGAGTGGTCGGTGCGCGTGAGTCAGAGTGTCACTACGTCTGAGTGTGAGTGAGAGTGTGACTGCTGGCGGGAATGAATCTGAGTGAACCTGCAAGTGAGTCTGAGTTGAGGTCTAAGTACGAGTGGGTCTGAGCGTCAGCAGGTCTGAATCAATGTGTCTGGGTGTGGAGGGGAACGGGCGGGAGGCCGAGCAGGCGGAGACGCCACCTCCATACTTGTCGACGGGGAGGTCCCCATATGTACAATCATTCCCTGGCATTTCCCGCTGTGGGTGTCTGAACGGGAATTTTGACATGTGGCGCCTGAGCGTACCTAGTGGCTACCGTCGGAGTGCCCACAATCACATCGGGATGATGGCAAGGCCCTGAAAGAAAGAGGGGTCGGGTGTGCCCGAACCAGGGCTTCGCTGGAGACGTCCTGAGACTCTTCTTCTCGCGCACGGGCAAGCGTAGCGCCCTTGGCGGTTCCTGCACGACTGTCGCGCTTGTTCTACAGCGGTGCTGGCAGGACTCTCAGATCAGAGGCGTCGGCGACGCCAGGCGAGCGCCTTGCCCGAGGCACCCCCGCAGTCTGCACACCGAGCGCCTCGCTCCAGGGATCCCCCGCAGCCACAAGCCGCGAGAGCGGGCAGGCGTCCCCGTGTCCCCCTCTCCCCGGCGGCTCCTTCCCGGGGGGGGAGGGGGGCACCGCGCGGCGCCCGCTGCACCGCGGGGGGCCACGGGGGGGGGGGGGGGCGCTGCCCCGTGCAGAGAGAGCGCTCGGGGGCGCCAAGCGAGCGAACCGCCGGAGACATGTCCCACCACCCGGGCGTGAGCTTTTTTTTGACGAGCGGACAGCAGGCGCCCCGCGCAGCCGCGGGCGCCCGGGAAGGCGCCGATCAGTCCGGGCGTGAGCACGGGCACGCGTCCACGTCCCTGGCGGCTCCTCCTCGGGGCGCGCAGGTGCCACGTCTGCGAGACGACGCGCGGGCCAATGGGGCTCTCAAGAGGAAGGCGGCGGCCGCAGATGGGGCCGAGCGAGCGCCTCGCGCGAGGCGTCCCACGCTGAGGGCGCGAAGGGGCTGGCGCAGCACCGCCCACTGGCGGCTCCTCTTTGGGGTGCGCAGGTGCTACCTCGCCATCGCTTGGACGTCCATTCCCTGTGATTTTGTTCGGTTTCGTGCGTGTTTTTTCGCCAAATGATCAAGGATGCTCCTCGATGGTCCTCGCCGAAAGAAACATGCACACGTCCGAGCGATGCCAAGCTACGGGTGCACCACCGCGGTGGCCATGGGGCCCTGGATGGAAGCGGAGCGGGTGGTGCAACGCGAACGCCTTGCTCCGCAGATCCCCACAATCCCCACCCTGGCCGCGAACGGTCCGGTGTCCCTCCCCACGCTTGCTCTCCTTGAGGTTGCACAGGCGAATGCCTACTGTACCGCGCCGATCAGGGAGCTCATGCAAGAAAGAAGTCGGCGGGGCAAGCCCGAGAGAACGGCGCAAGACATCCCCATGCTCTGCGCGCAAACGGGCAAATGCCCCCATCCCTGGCTGTTCCTCTCTGGGGCGCCCAAATGCTATGCGTGCGTTGTCGCGTTGATCATGGGGATCTCAAGCAAAGCGACCGCAAGGGGGCAAGACGAGCGCCTCGCTCGAGGCATCCCCACGATCTGAGCGTGAACAAGCAGATGCCCTCACCCCATGTGCGGTTCCTCCTGGGAGTGCCCAGACAGCGCTTGACCTGGTATGTCGCTGCGTACATAAACGAGTCTGAATATGAGGAGCGAATGTGATGAGTGTGAATGGCACAGTGTGCGTTTGTCTGAGTGTGAGCCTGAGTGCGAGCGAGCCTGTGTGTGACTGAACTGAGTTGATGATGGCGTGTGTGTAAGAGCTTGGGTATGGCACCGCTGAGTGTATGGCGAGTTTGAGTATGAGTCAGTCTGCTATTGAGTCTGAGTCTGAGTCTGAGTGAGCCTGGGTGTCAGTGAGTCTGGGTGATTATGAGCGGGTCTGAGTGTGGATAAGATGACGCAATGCGGAAGCAAAGGTGAAGGCATCACAATAATTACTCGGCGCGGGGGAAGGCACATGCGCATTTCATTTCCTTGCCCTCTCGTCTGTCAGCGTCTGAATGGAAGACCCTCAACCTGTTATGCCCGAGCGATCCCGAGTGCCGGCCCCGCCTTGGAGGAGTACCGAAAAGGCTATGCCGCAGTGTCTACTGGTGTCTGCTAGGATTTGCTGGTGTCTGCTGGTGTCTGTTAGTGTCTGCTGGCCCCTGCTGGTCTGATGGGGCTCTGAATGAAGAGGGGTCAGCGACGCCAAACAAGCGCCTCGCTCGAAACATCCCAACAATCTGGCCGCGAACGGGCCAGTGGAAAGGCCCCTGGCGGCTCACCCCTGGGCACCCACCGACGAAGCCTGCTACCCAACGTGCTCACGGGGCTCTCAGAGCAGAGGAGTCGGCGACGCCAAAGGAGCGCCTCGCTCGAGGCATCTCCACGCTGTGGCCGCGACTGGGCACTTGTAACTCCTCATGGCGGCTCCCTCTGAAAGTGCCCGACTGCAATGCTTGCTACATCGCGCCGGTCAACGGGCTCTCAAAGCAGGCCTTGAGGTACCCGCCTGCTGATGGCTGCCGCATCGCGGTGCCCACGGGGCTGCCGAAGCAGTCGGCGAGGCCAAACGAGCGCCTCGCTCGAGACAGCTCCGCAAATTGGCAGCACACTGCAAGTGGAACACCCCATCGGAGCTTTTCCTTGGGTTGCCCAAGTGGCATTCCTGCTACATCGCGCTGGCCACGGGGCTCTGAAAGCAGAGAAGTCGGGCACCCTGAACGAGCGAATCGCTCGAGACATAACCCAACAATCTGGCCGCAGACGGGCAAGTGGAACGTCCCCTGGCCGCTCACCCCTGGGCACCCACCGACGAAGCCTGCTACACCGCGGTGCTCACGGGGCTCTCAGAGCAGAGGAGCTGGCGACGCCACAGGAGCGCCTCGCTCGAGGCATGCTGTGGCCGCGACTGGGCACTTGTAACTCCTCGTGGCGGCTCCCCC